GGGTGAGTTCTAGCCCCGCCTTGGCATGAAAGCCAACTGGGTGACTTGGGGCAGGCCCTCTCTCCCCCCACCCCACCTCCGCAAAACAGGGTTATTGATGTGGGGAGAATAGGAGGGCAAAGGAGTGCCTAGATGTGGTTGCCGAGTTGGGTTCTTTAGAAAAAGAAACAATAAAGGTGATATAAATAAACAGCAACAAAAAGCAAATAAATAAATATTCTTTAACGGGACCATTGTTAAGGCCATTGTTTAATTTCCTCATTTTCACGTCTCGTGGCTGCTGAAAATGATCCCGCTGAGAGCGATGCTAGTGATCTTTCAGGATGCAAACACAAAAGCTGTGAGCTCTACCCATTCCTGTTGGAGTTGTTAGCAGTGTTATAACGTGTGACGGCTCTGTTTTAGACTGGGGGCCCTCGGCTCGCCTGTCGTTGGGGCAGGGACCCTCCTTTCCTTCCAGGGACTTCGGTATGCAGCACCTCCCCTCTTCTGCCTAATTGAGTGATGATGGGAGCATTGGGGAGCCCTTGGTGTAGACCGGAGGGGGGGATGGGGGGGAAACACAGGTGGACTCGGCCTTCTGTCCTTCCGAGATCGGTAAAATGAGGACCAGTGGTTGTATGCTACCGGTTTGGACTGGTTCGGCCTAACTGGTAGTAAAAAAAAATCAGCGGAGAGGATAAAAGACTGAAAAGCACCTGGGGTGGGTGGGAGGGTCGTTCCTAGCGTTTCGTTTCTTCATCCTCTCAGTTGATTGGCTTGTTAGGGGTGCGCGCATTAGGGGCGCACGTGCAATCCCCCACCGAACCGGTAGCGACTAAGGTCGACTTAGGATCGACGAGCGACTAGGATCCCACTACTGATGAGGACCCAGATTGTTGGGGGCATGATGCTGACTCCGTAAATCGCTTAGAGAGGGCTGTAAAGCACTACAAATTTGGCCTTCCGTGGAGGACCTGTATCCTGCACGAGTCAAGAAGAGGGCTGTGGAAATATTTTACAGACCCCTCACATCCTGGACATAAACTGTTTCAACTCCTTCCCTCAAAACGACGCTATACCAGAACAACTAGACACAGGGACATTTTTTTCCCCAAATGCCATCACTCTGCTAAACAAATAATTCCCTCAACCCTGTCCAACTATTTACAAAGTGTACACTACTATTACTGTTAATTTTCTCATTACTCCTTATCACCCATTCCCTCCCACTTGTGACTGTATGACTGTAACTTTGTCGCTTGTATCCTTACGATTTATATTGACTGTTTCCTAGTAGGATTTGATTGCTTATTATTGTACCCTATGACTATTATTAAGTGTTGTACCTTATGATTCTTGACTCTTGACAAATGTATCTTTTCTTTTATGTACACTGAGAGTGTTTGCACCAAAGACAAATTCCTTGTGGTCCAATCACACTTGGCCAATAAAGAATTCCTATTCTATTCTATTCTATTCTATTCTATTCTATTCTATTCTATTCTATTCTATTC